TGTCAAAGAGGAACAATTGAATCCCATGGTGTTTGGAACAGAAAATTCAGCGATCTTTGCAACAACAATGTGTACCCGTAAGTAGAGATATCAGCAACCCTGTGAAAAAAGAAGACCACAGTACCACGTTTTTGTGGTTTTTCTAAGACGACGGATCAGAATAAAGAATAGGCTAACCCGTTTTACTTCTACACAGATACACATTCATTTCAACTCGAGACAAGACAAAAAAGCCCCCCCCCCCCCTCCCCTCAACTAACCAAACATTTTTCTAAAGAGCAAAAAAGAAAGAAAAATGCTCAAGATGTCAGACTATGCTAGATCTATATTATATCGTTCACCTTGCACGAAGTCTGTAAGACCTGAGCAAGCATAGATTTCCTAATGAACCGGATCTCCGGGGTAGGCTACCCGCTTGTCATTTAGTCCCTTCAAACCGAGTCGCAAAGTAAACAAGACAAGATACACAAGGTGACTGTGGGTTGGTTTTTTTTCTCCCCGTTTCCTCTTAGCTTCGGTATAAACACAAAAACTGAACTGGTTAAGCTGGTTGGTTTATAAATCGGATATTTTGCCTGTACAAAGACTTAACTATTCTTAAGAAAAAAATAACCGGTTATCCGTATCTGTGGCTCGGATTTCAGCAGCTCAAGAACGAAACGAAATTCTTTGCTCCTTCTCCGCCTCAGGACGCCTTGACTTTTTAAATCATCCGTGTCAACTGTTTTCCTCATCAGACGAGACTGATCCTTAAGAAACGCTTCTCTTGGAACAAGACACATCACATTTTAAAGACTTTACGGTAAATTAATGGGCGGAACATAAGGAGCAGTAATTGGACGAAGGCATTTACGCCAGCTAGAGTTTCGTGCCTTGGGAGGGGGGGCTGACTGGAGTTAAACCATCAACGTCTTTTCAAACCGGGATCACGGCTCGGTTCTGCAGTGTGTTTGTTTGTTTGTGTCTGTAGAAAGACCCGACATTCACCGCAGCAAGTTAGTCTACTTACTACGAGCTGTCAAGCTTGCACTATCGTAATATCGTAATCCTTCTTTCTCTCCCTTATGCCGAAACCCCCACCCCCCAAACTTCTCTCTCTC